TAAAACACCTAGTGTCTGGCACTCTGCTTTTCAAAAAAAAGGGGGGGGAGTTTATTTTATTATTGTAAATAGACTTTTTTCTCACTGGGTGGCTACATGCTTAGATTTTTATGTTCTGACACGTCAGTGAACTGTGGGGGAGCTGTTAGGTATTTTTACATACTTCAGTCATCCTGGAGACAGTGGCTGGAGTTGTTTACGTTATGGCAAATTCTTGCAGTTTACCAGTGACTTTTATCATGTCCCTTTGCAAACCTCTTTGGGGTTTGATTTCATTGATGTACAAATGTATCATTTTCAAAAGTGTCATTTTTTAGTCTTTTATTGAGACAGGGTCTCCCTGTAACCCCAGCTGGTCTGGAACTCACTCTGTAGACCAGGCTGGCCTCGAACTCACAAAGATTCATCTGCCTTTGCCTCCCAAGTGCTGGGATTAAAGGTGTGTGCCACCACACCTGGCTAAAAGTGTCATTTAAAAAAAATATTTTATTTTTACTTTTATGTATATGAGTGTATTGCCTGCTTGTAAGTGCACCCATGCCGTGTAATGCCCATAGAAGTCAGAAGAGGGCGTCGAATCCCCTGTAACAGGAGTTATGTGGACAGTTGATAGCTGCCGTGTGGGTGCTGGGATTTTGAAGCCAGGTCCTTTCCAAGAGTATTTAGTGCCCTTAACCACTGAACCATCTTTCCAGCTCATTGTCATTTTTTTTTTCATTTTTTTTCTTTCATTTTTCTTCTCTCATTATTGGTTATGTTAAGATAGAATTTTAATAAAGGCAATGGATTTCCATTTTTATTTTTTAATGTTCCAGCTGCTGGCATTGAGCTTGTCCACACTGCTATTGCCATGCCTGGGATCACTTCTCATTTATAGAGGTCAAAAGCCAGAGCCTCACTCTTCAGAAATAAACCCTAAGGGCTATTGAGCTCTTCCAGACCCTTGTCAGGTCCAAAGTGTTCCTTTCTCTGCTGAAATCTGTCAGCTGACTCTGGCAAAAATCAAATTTCCTTACCTTGAACTTACCTCCATACACACAAGTTTCCTGGAGAAAGTTTGGAAAAAAGACTTGCTGTTTTAATCTTCAAATTTCAGAATCGAAGGTCCCTTAGAGAGCATCTTGCCCCAACCGCCTTCATTTAACAGAACATATAACTTCCTTTTCTCTGTTTCCACATTTAAAGGAATTCCCAAGGCTACCTCATAATAAAAATTGGGAGCAAGTTAAGAGCCAAGTTAAGAAAGTAAAATACCATGGGACACAGTTGTGCTTGGGAAAGACTGAGTTACTGTAAATGCAGTCACGGCCTCTGGAGTTATTTATCAAGGATTTTCTTTAAGGACAAAAAGAAACCTGTGTTGGTTCAACTTCAAAGCTTTACATGGGGTTGGGTGAGACTGGAAAAAGTTTGATTCAGTTTCTTCCTGGCTGGGCTTGGGTTTGAAAGGGCCTGCTTTGAAGGGGCTTGTCTTTCCTTCTGACTGGCCCAGGTATAGTGGGGAGTTGGCAGTCTTGGTCAGTCAGTGTCTCTTGTCTTTACCTCCTCTAAATAAAGTGCTTCTCTAGGTCCTCTATGCTGACAGTTCCTGTGATAAGTTCTGAAATTAAGAGAACACTCTCAATTGTGTTAGGACATGCTTTGAGAAATATGGTTTCCTTCACATATTTACATTTGTAACAAAATCACCAGGTACAAAACACTATCACATATATTCCTTCATTTTAACTCCTAAAGAGTGTGAAAGTAATTTTCAGCTACAGTTTGCAGATGAAGAAAGGCTCCAAGAAGGATACCTCATAGCATCTTCAAGACTGAAATGGCATGTCATGAGTATATAGCAAACCAGTTGACAGAGTCCACAGAGTTGAAATAATTACTTTGATCTGATATGCGATCAACTATCTTCATGAATGACTTCTGGAAAGTGCAAAAAAAATGTAGGAACATAATGCCTAGGTCCTAAAGAAACTTTGAGACTATGACACTGAGATTCACAGGGAATTTATCATTTTATAACTTCATGTTCTTGGAATATTTTTCTTTGAGACTAGTGAAAGATAAGGAAATTTCATCAACAAGGAAATTATAAGAAAAGATTATTCGCATTTAGGGGAGAATCGAATTTCATTAGTATTGAGCCGTGTGTGTGTGTGTGTGTGTGTGTGTGTGTGTGTTGTGGCTGGCTGTCCATCTGTCAATGTGCGTAGATAATACACTTTCTTCAACTTGTTTTTATTCTAAGCAAGTCCATCTGCACACTCTTATCAAAGACTAAGATGTATCCATAGGATTAGAAAAGGCATTATCCTGTCGAATATGCTATTCTAAGAAAACAAGTCTAAGGCCACAGGTGATAGAATTCTAGACTGTAAATGGAGATTATTTTGGTAAAAAACACTACCTAGGGACTTGTATCCAAGTTGCGTCATTATGTTTTGAGTGTTTAGAAGATAACACAGGGTGAGATCTGACACAAGTCCAACACTAATGGCAATGGAAGTTGAGCCTGTTTTCCCCTCCCTTGCCTCCAAAAAAATGACAGCAAATTTTTGAATTTTTTTTATTCATGTCCTGCCCAGCAAGGGCACCTGGCATTTTCACAGTGCAACTGCTCAGATGTATTGGTAAATGTGATTACATATTGTGCAGTTCACCAGCCTGATGGTGGGGGTGGCTTCAGCTGGGATGGAATGCTGCTGGGGAGAGGAAGATGGAGGGGAGTCAAAGGAGCTCTCAGCTTACAAGTTAGTGAGAAGCCAGTCTAGCAGTTGCTTTCTAGCCATGTTACCCACGGCTTCATCCAGTTGTCGTTCCTTGGCAAACTTCATGACCTCCTGAAGAAGAGCTCCTACACTGTACCCCTTCTCTGCTGTCTTGGCTGAAACTTCAGGGAGCTATGGAGAGAGCAGAGCTAGCATGAGTCATCAAATACTTTTAATAAAGAAGATCACTGGACAAAGTATGCCCCTTCCACCTTTCTACCCATGATTGTAAGAATAATGTTACAGATCCAGGACTGGAGGCTGCTGATATGCCTATCCCTTTCCCCTTGAACCTTCTATAATGGCATAGCTCACAAATTCTGAAATCAGTTGTGTTTACTAAGTACTTGTCCCTTGGTGCTAGACCCTTATGTTAGACTGTACAGATTGCTAAGTCAAGATCTGGGATTGTCATTACTCTCTCTCCTAAAAAAGTATGTGATTGGGGATAAGGAGAATTGCATATCTCACCTGTAATAAAAATGATTTAGCTACCACCTAACGTGGAAACACAACTGTGGTGTGTGTGTGTGTGTGTGTGTGTGTGTAGAGAGAGTGAGAGGAAATGTGCATATATATATATGTATATATATATATGAATGTTAGCCTGCTTAACTCCACCCATTCTATCTCTAATTTGTTAGGCTTTGATGCATTTACCTTCTCTAGTTGTCCATCATCATCTCCCATGAAGTAGAGCATGGGCACGTTAAACTGAGAGGCTGCAATCCACTGAAGGACAGCCTGCAGCTGCTTCTGCAAGTTACTTGTAGAGCATTGATTGTTAACGATAACTTCAGGGACAGGAGAATCTTGATAGTTCTGTGACATTGCACCTTTAGGGCCACATCTGGAGCCACTGAAATTGGGATTGCTTGCTAAGGCTGCTTGTTCTTTCAGCTCAGCAAGGGCTGCTCCATTGTTGCTGTACTTAGCCATTATTAGGCAGAGTTTCATCACAGATTCTACCAGTTGATCTATAAATTGGCGATTCATTTGCTTCATCCCACTGATGAAGTCCAGTTCTGGATTGTCTGGGCATTGTTCTTCAGGTATCTTGGACATGGGAGCTACTTTGCTTGTTCTGGGTTCAAAATGACGTTTATTCTCTCTTTCACATAGCTCATCACAGCTGAAGGGGCTCTCACTAAGGAGTTTCGGAATCAATGACAGAACCATGTTTGACATATCCAATTTCTGTGAATCCAGCTGTTGGTTTTCCTTCACACATGCAGATGGTCCAGGAGCTCCATGAGTTTCAAAAGGCTTCATTGAGAGTGACTTAGCACTTTGGCCACCTCCACACTTTTCATATTGGGTACTTTGGGACATATATCCCATGGAAGAACCAGGCCAGTCATCTTCACATAAATCTTTGCCCTTGGTTTGCTGGGTCAGATGGTACTGAATAAGCTTAAGGGCAGATACAATCAGATCCTTGGCCAACAGATCTGTGGAAGGACTGATCTTTTCTCTCTTGTCATCTTTACTGGCACATACTTTGTTAATCATCCTGCCTTGGTTTCCTTGCTTCTGGTTCCACATAGTGAGGCTCTCTTTAAGGATGTGTTCACTGACTTTCTCGGCACTTGTCAATGACTTACAGCATGGGTCTGTTTTCACTTTGCATTTATCCTTCCCTTTCATATCAGCTTTCATAGCAGAGAATTCAAGGCTCTGATTCTTGGATTTCAGATCATGGGTTCCAGTTTTCAAAGTTGCATATGCCAGACTCTGAGATTTAGTCTCCTTCTTCTCACCAAGAAGGGCACTGACCAGATGCTTCAGCATGGCCTCCATGATGTCTGCTGCCTTTTGTTTTCCGTGATTGAACAGATTCCTCTTGACAGCAGAAACAAAGTCTGAGTCTGTCATCAGGACCCCAGTTATGTTATGCAGGTTCTTCATGCAGGAATCAATCAGATCAGACACAATTTCCTTGGTGTGCTTTAATAATACCCTCTTCAGGACCACACAAGGCAGAATCGGCTTCCCACAGCTCTGCACTTTCAAAGTTTTCATAACAGGGATCATTATGTCAGATGTCACTTGATTTGCATAAACCATAAGCCCCTTGCTGATGGAATCTGCAAATTCTTTGCTATCTTTTGGGCACATCTGCTTCTCTCCACACTTGTTTTTGTTAGATAATTCACTGTACAGAAAGGTTTTCTGGCCACCATCCCTGCATTCTTCCCCAGTTCCATGCATTTCTGCTGAGGTCAATTCTACAGCTTCATGAGCCATCTCAGAAGCAGTCTTTCTGACAGCACTGTGAGGGCTGTTTTTCCCTTTGTCTCCATTGGATGCAGACATTGAATGATGGAGGCATTTGCTTCCACCTTCCAATTTCCCCTTGATTTCTTCACGGGCCATTTGCATTACCAGAGAGTACAGCCGGTTGACATAAAAGGAAAGGTTGTCCATAGAGCATTCTCCATCAGGGGTGACAACTGACCTCTGATTTCTAGGAGATTTGGCTGCAGGATTTGAGGGACTTCGGTTATTGGTGTTTTTGGCTGCCGTCATTTCTAGATGTAGGCTTTGAGGTCTTTTGTTCATATAATCCATGTTTAGCTGATCAGTGTACGCACTGAAGCATTTCTCAGAGGGTATTTTGTGATATTCACCCTCTATGTCTCCTACTTTATATTTACAACTAGAGGCCGAGGGGCTTAATGCATGTTGGAAACCCAAGGCATACTTCTGGAGATCATTGAGGAGCCAATTGAGGACACTTATGGGATCTGAGGGGGCTTGTTTGAAAAGGCACACAGATACCTCCATCTATAAAAAGAAGAACACCTATCCATAAGACTTTGAGTAGGCTACTTCTGTCCTTTCTTTTATTTAGAAAAGATAGCTTCTAAATAACACAGATTAGGGATTTGGAATTCACATGCTAATGTAGCATCCAATTGTATCCAATAATACACATTCA